CATGCTTTTTTATATATTGCTTGGTCTGTCCTATATATGAACTTGGACAATCCTTGCGTATTATTTTGTAAATGTTTTATGTTGGCCGATTTCCAAGAATTTATAACTGGAGTCAAGGTCATGGGCATACTTTACTTGCTTTTTTATTTCCGGTTTCAAAAACAGGGGTTTCCATTTTATAAAACTATCTTGTCCATTAAATGAGCTTGAAGGTCACCTTTTTAAGATCACCATCAGATCCATGTTTTTTAACCTTCCAACTGTATTACAAAACTATTTTCCTTATGAATCGTAATTTCCGGAACATTTTGTCCTTTTCCTACTTTCTGTACAGTCTCACATACTTATGAATAATGTAAAATTACCCGCACTTAACATTTCAATTGTCAAAAATAGGGGTTTCTATTACGAAAACAGTATTGACCTTTACATAACTTTGAAGTTCATAATCAAGGACACGTCCAAGAGATGAATCTTCTCAGACCTTACAAGTGTGCTCTAAAACATTTATCGCTATTTTTCGAAATATTTTGATTTATCCATACTATTTTAACAGCCTGTTTTCGCGGACAAAAGAAGCCTATAAGCTTCTTTGGATTTCAATCAGTATGTGTACAAATTTTTACGTCTCTCTGTCATGTGGTCCAGACCTAATGCTGACATACTGGAGAGTCATTCACATTTATATAAAATATTAATTGACAGTGCGGGATTAATGGATCTCTCATATAAATCCCGTCGACTAGCATAAGCTGCAGGATTACTATATCTGCTTGAATGATCAAGCTGGACTGCCTATCTGCTACGTAATTCCTTTTCCGATTCTTGGTATCATCGAAACATGTCTCGATCTTGTAGCAAGTAAAAATAAGGTAATTTTATTTTTCCCAGGACAGAGATTGCTAGGCACCAAGACTCTTGATATAATTAGTAACAGAGAGCTGGCTCCAAATGAAGAAAAAATTGAGCCTACTCGCTGAAAAATCCAAATGGAAAACAGCTAATGTTTCTCTTTAAAAATAAATAGAGGCGGGCAGCGCAGTGCAAAAATGCGAGTTCGCCGCTCTCCTATGCAGTATAAATTTGAAAATGAGAAAACCGCAGCGAAATTGCCCCGGGAAATTTACGACACGTGCGGTGCATGTTTTAATATGGTAAATGTAAAACATGCCGGGCATAAATTACCGGCTTCCAGTAATTAAACCTACCATATCACAGACGATGGAAAATTGAAACAGATATTTCTTTTTGTCATATTGATGCATAATTTCATATCGGGTGCACTAGCAGACGGTAAAACGAAAACGTTTGGATTTTTTCCGAACGAACTAACAAGCGATGCTCGCATTACTGATGACATTTAAACACGTCCCATCAATCGTCCTAGCTGCTGGAAAAAGTTGGCTACTCTTTTTAGATCTAAAGCAGTCTTTGGTCTGCGTTGCAGTAGTATTCGCGTTCTTGAGATCTGAGGTACTCTTGCTCCGACTACATTGTTGACACTTGAATCTTCATCTTCTTTGTCTTCTTCCTTTTTTTCCTCTTCTTCTTCCCCTTCTCCTTCCTCTTCCCCTTTCCCTTCCTTATCCTCTTCTTCTTTTGCTTTCCCTTTCTCTTTTTATCCTGCATAATCAGTTGCAATAACATGTATTTGTCTCCACTTGTAAGTAGTGTAGTAGTATCCTAAATATTGTAATAATCATGCTGATTCTTTTATCGTTATTTTCCCTATCATTTTGCATAACAATGTGGTTAAGTTTCGTTGATATAGCGTTGGATTTCCTTCTTTAATCCACATGTGTGTAGGATTATTTCTCCTCCAACTAGACAGTATTGATGTGGATAACACTTGTGGCTTCCAGATGACCGTGTTATATATGCGTTACAGATCTGTCTGAGAGCTCTTTTCCGCCAAAATTGGATGGTACTGATGTGGACAAAAATGTCATCGGATCCATGAACTATAGTAGGTGTATTTTGTTCCTGTTATTTGAACAATGTGAATCATTTGAACCCAGTTAATATTGTGACAGACCTAGACAGTTTAAGTGAATTGTGGTATTCCTCGATATGTTTGTATCGAAGTAGCCTTCTGTTTGGAATTTTTGATGGTGGATATCTGAAGGTACCTGCTATAAGTAAAACCTGTCATTTTAATATCTTAAGATCCAGGTTGTAATAAAAAATGACAATTTGAGTTTATAAACATTTCGACGTTTTAAAACCATAGCTTTCTTTTGCACCATGCCGGCTCATCTGTTATTCTCAGCAATCGCTATACCCATTTTACTCAAATATAGAGACAGAGATGTCCGGGGCTATGTTACTATTGCTACAATTTTCAAAAATATTATAGTTAACGTGTTTTCTTTATTTCAGGTGTGAGGTGCTAGCTCCATAGTTTGATGAGGTGAGTTTTTATTTACTGTTTTGTTACTTTCCTCAAAATAATAACATATAACGTCGCAGTCACGTACTTCGTTGCGATACAGTTGATCAACTGCAGCGTTTTTCAAGTTAAAACTATGATAAATAATTCAGCAATTCTCATGCTTCGTATACTATTTCACACTTTTTGACGAATCTGGTTTTTTCGCTGCTTCGTTCTCGATTAGATCTACTGTATCATTCAGTAAAAACTGCAATATAGGTAGAAGATCATAGTAGATGAGCGCCCAATATAATTTTTATAAAAAACATAAACAGATGTAAATTGATCGATTATTTACTTAGTGCTTATAAGCACTCAGCTTATATTAAACATGAGCTCATTATTTGTCGGAATGATCCTGTATAGCTAATTTTACAATTCGTTCAGCTCTCTCTTCGAAAAAATCGGCGAAGACGTTTCTGAGTAAATGATAGCTTTGCGTTTTATGCCTGTTACGTCAAATTACCTGAACGTGCATCTTGATGTGCTGAAATTATCGGGATAGACTAAAAACTTTCTCTGTTACTACATCATTATGTTTATTAAAATCGCTATTTTCCTCATGGTTCGCCTGTTTTTAACATATGGTGGCTCGAGTGTTGATAACTACTAAGAAAATAACTAGAGGCACTGCTTCATATCTATATGGAATTTTAGCATAGATTATACAGGGTGTGCAATAAGTACCACGAAAACCTTAAGGAGAAGGTAGGCTTTGGACTGACAAAACCTCACCTATATAAAAGTGTCACCGTCTTTGAGATATTGAATTTTTTCTTGAATTAAAACAAAACGAACCTTTTCATCCGTGGTCTTTAGCTGCATGTACAAATAAGGTTATACTTTGTTCATTCTTTCTATAAATTACTTCTATATAGTTGCTTTATCATATACAAACGCAATATAGTTAAAAGATATTAAGGAACCATGATAAAATAAGGTATGTTTTGGGATTTGTAACTTTCTGATATTGTTTCCTCAACTTTCGTAAAATCATATCAGGAGCAGGTAATAATAATATAGCTTTGTACTATTTAGCATGTCACTGATCAGTAACCAGTGAAACTTAAATTTAAATCCAATAATAGCATTGTAGTCTGTGTAGTGTTCTGAAATCTGTATTCAGTATTAAATGAGAAAACTTTTTATCCAATATAATGCAGTTATATCGAAATACATTTTTTTCACCACAGATGGTCAAAGTTGAGGAAAAAATATCAGAAACTTCTGAATCCCAAAAGAGTCCTTATTTGACCATGGTTCCTTAATATCTTTTAACTAATTTCATCTGTATATGATAAAGCAACTATCTTGAAGTATTTTATAGAAAAAATTAACAACAAACATTCATGAGCTCTCTAAAAAATTGTTGGCCTCGCTGTCACTTGATTGGAAACCCGGAAAAGTTGAAAAAAAATTCACTCATTGCAAGATTTTTTATTGCCTCCAAGTAATCTTTGGGAAGATGTAAAAACTACAAAACGAAACTTGAGAATGAGCGGAGCTTTTTCACTTTTTACTTACAATTTTAGCCACTGACTTTTTAGACAACTCTTTTTACTCAGTAGACGGGTATCTGATCATACCTTCAAGTAGCAGTGTTGTGTAGTTGTTCCTTTTGTTATTTTACTTCTATGCTTTTTTATTCATTTCTTGACTTCGCAGCATCTAATGTCTAATACCGAGACATAGATGCTGTGTTGTGTGCCTCTATATCACGTACGTGGGTGCAATATTAACGATAGGTACATTTTATCACTCGAGCTGGTTTATTATATCAGTTACCAGTAGAGTAGTACATATAATGTTGGTACAACGAGGTCGGCGAGAAGGGCTTGAAGGTGGTCAAGTTGCCAGGCTTCGTCTTACCACCACTACTAGACAATTTTTCAAAGGTAAAATTGAATTTCCTATTATGTTCCCACAGCAATCCGCAGCCTGAATTTGATCAAAATTGATATAACCGTTCCAGATATTGACAAACCGATAGACAGACAAATTTTAATCGAGATTGAAATATTTTCACGAACACTTACTTACATAGCCTGGGAAGTACAATCCTGAAAGCTACGCAGTCTAAAAATGTATTTTTTGCACCTAAAATTTTCAGATATATTCTTTTCATGTCATAGCTATCCCAAATTTATTTATAATGGAATAAAAACAGCACTTCTGCCTGCCTGTGAAGTATTGAACTTACACGAGTCCAAGTTTGCATATGACTTTAAGCACTTGTTCTTGGGGAATATAACTGGGAAATTCTAGAACTTAGTATATATCTATATTGCCCCAAAAGAGTCAAAATGACTGCATTGTGAAAAAATGTAAATAAATTTGTTTAACATTATTTTTTATTATTTTCATGTTATTTACAGTCATACAACAAGTTATTAGTAGGTATTAACAATAAAAAAATACTTAACTTGGAAAAAAAATAATTTATGCTCGCGGTTCTCCCACTCTGTAAAAGCGTATCAATTACAGAATGTGATCGTGCAGTCAGCGATCCTCCTTTCCTCTGAACTACGTTATAGCGCGTTCAGGCCCATGGCCAGGCCTAGCATAAAGCTTTTTTTTTATACTCCAATTACCACGAAGGCCTAAGGCCTAAGCACCCATTGGGTACCGTGGGGCTATGGGGGATACATGGGAAAGGGGGGACGCCACACGGACTCTGGCGAGGAAACATGCACACATTCTGGCTCCGCCTACGAGAACCGCCGGGTGGTACCTCCGCGTTCGAGAGTTAGAGACCATCTACCACCTACGGACAATCACAACATCCATGGCCAAGAGAAACATTTCTCCTGGGACGGGACTCGAACCCGCCCAGCGCACGGCGGCTGATCAGGAGACCGAAGAGTCTACTACTGCGGCCACCGCTGCTGCCTAAAACAAACACACAACATCCATGGCGAAGGCGAGATTCGAACTCGCGGCCCGACCGGCCGGCTGATAAGTAGCACGACACTCTGACCCACGCGGCCAACCGAGGTCCCGAAGCTTCGAATAACAAGTACTACTTTGGCTATTGAACAACTGCAGCTTACCATGTATATGTCCAAATCGACAATTTATCATGAACTTGTATGTCATCATGTGACAGTAATCAAAAGAATATAAACTGTTATTCCAATCCAGAACCGAACTGGTCATATAGGAAATTTATTCAATGCAATAGTAAAAGTCATGTGATCGTTCAAAATTCACCCAAAATTACTGCTTTTGGGCAATACAGGTATAACACATTATATATGTTACGGCTAAAACCCGAAACTCGGTGACAGCTAGCCTTAGCCGGTTAGAACTACGTTTAGCCACTGACAGTTGGTTAATCACATTGGTGGCCAAAACTAGTACTAGGCCTAGCCAGCCCTTAGTGGTTAAAACTAGATGTAAACGTTACAAGCAGGCTTACGGCCGATTTCAGCAACATTAATATTATGGACCAATGGGAAAATACCTTATCGAAATGCAACTTGACGGAAGCTGTCAAAGGTCTCTGAATATCAGTGATTTCTATTGAAATATTGAATAAAATCGTGAAAATTCGACTGTTATAAACAAGACCACTTTTTGATTCCAACATGATGCTTTTGTACAGAAAAACAGAACAACTTTCATGTATTTTGATATATGTTATAGGTTTACATTTAATAATCCGTTATCCCCCTCAGCGAATGGGAATGCGGCAAATAATAGGTCGATTTTCTAGCTGTTAAATTTGGCAGCAGATGTGGACGTTTGTTAATGCATGGCACTCTCGAATTTACCAACTTCAATATACTGAAAGTTATCATTACATACCTGTTGAATAGTGTGGATTTGTCTGTATTTTGCAAGAAAATAGAATATAAAATACATTCCATCCAATTCCTCATCTTCCTTTACGTCATAATAGTAATTATTTATTAATTTATGGATTAATGAATTTCTTCAAAGCAATAAAAACATTATGTCCTCTCCATCCTAAAACACAGATAATATGTGTAAGACGTGTCAATCCCTACATCTCCCTGATGCATAATGCAATTACTATGGACATAGACAAAACATTATAAAAAATGTTTCACAGATAATGGCTTTTAAGTCCAAAAACCAAAAAAACTAGTCACGTTTATTGGTTGTCTAGGGTTGCCAAGTCTAACGACGATCACGTCCCGTGGTGGAGGGTGCGAAATGAATCTTTTACATTTGCTGGTTTTGAATTTTTTCGTGAAAATTTACTAGGTATCATGATAATAAGCATCTTTGGTAGATTGTTCGATCCGGAATGGGAAAGATCTCCTATTTATGAAAATATTTTTGGTATCATCTAACCGTTGCAATCAGTGCACAAACACTGTGACATATGATTTATAGCATAACCCGCTGCCCTATCAATACAAATATAACATACAGGTCGCCTAGCTGTGGGGATGCAGTGGTCGAGATGAATATCACGGCAGCAACTGATGATTTGGGTATGTCTGGTAACAATGTATGAAGTGAAACTCGCTAACTTCACAAATTTGAAGATTTTGTACAATTTATTTGAAAATGATGAAAGATATGTCTGATTTGGCAGGGTAATGTCGCAGCCAAATGGCAGTTACTCTTTCTGACACAGTCCGGATCGAAAGATGACGATACTCGTGAAATGTATTGGTACTTCTAAATATAGGATCGTTTCGAACATCCCTACTGTCAAGATGTATAACCCAAGGTACCGAAGGAGCTATATTGCGGCATCATGGAAATAATTTTAAATTTTCATTTGCATTTTTTCAAGTGTTGTGCAATGATTTTGGGAAAAATGTCACGAATAGTCTTATAAAGCATAGTAGAGTATGTTTCAACAGTTGGCGGAACTTACTCCACTGGGACCAGGAGGGTGAAACGGGATATTAATGCACAATCTGGCAACCCCGTCGTACCCTCACAAAATGGCCGCTGATAAACACACAAGTCACCGTGTTGTCATTGAATAGCATGGAATTAAACCTTCAGACTATATGTTTTGTGACTGGTACCAAGAGTTGACAGATTCCACACATCTGTCACTCCTTGAAATGCAATAATCAGCTGTTTTCAAATAATGTCTAATATAAATATAACCTAGAATGTGTATTCGTGAAAAAAGAAAAATATGGCAAATTTGTCATTTTTTTTGCAGGTTTTAGGTTTGCTGGTAGCTTTAAGGCATATATTTGGGAATTTCTTAATCGCTGTGAATATAGTGTTGATGTTTGTTCAGTTCCTCAACAACGAAAAATATTCAATTTTATGGATGTATGGATATCAAAAAACCTGAATGCTTTTGTGGGAATATCAATCTAAGGTGCCATAATGGTTCTGATGAACGGCAAGTAAATGAATGAATGTTGGAAACGAGCAATATCTTTTGGTAGAGCCTGTCATCAAGTAGGTGCTTAATTGCTATCTGCAAGAGGTTTATAGGAAAAAACACCCAGTATCACATATCAATTGAAGAAAATAATATAAACATGAATAAAAAATCAACAATAGTAATTAAATCATGATTTCATTCAAAAATCAAACATTTCTTAAAATTTAGACTGAATTATATGTAATTTCTTAATATTCAATAAGCTGGTGATGTTTCAATGACAAGTTGTCATCTCATACTTTGACAGTATTTTGTTTTCAACATTTCATAGCTATTGGTTGCTAAAATTTGTTGATGGGAACTTGAAGCTCATTCGCTGTATCTGACGGTCTGTTACCTTGTAGGTGGAGAATAACGGACTGTTGTTTGTGAAGTTGGCTCTAAGACAGATAATTTTAAAGAAAATATCATGTCATCACTTTGATGTAATTTATTTCAGCAATACATTATATTTCTTCATTATTCTCATTAGTTACGACTTCAGCGGTATTTGAAATAATCTATTCATTTGGAATTGAGCCCACAATAGCATATTTTAACTTGATTTGATTTAAACACTAAACCGAAATTTGACTTCCAAAAATTCTGAAAGTATCGGTCTCCTGTTTCCTTTAATAGCTACTTCTGAAATTTCCAGTTTTCTGTAAGAGTACGGTTCCTTCATTCCCTATCCCTAACCCCGCTGATCCCAAACTTCTTTCTCTACGCGTGACCTCGAATCGACACAAACTAAAACACCCTAAATTAATTACCCAAGTACCATGACCACATTAAAAGATCAACACGATGACTAATCTCTTTTAAACAGCTTTGTTTTTTCACCACATCCATTCGTTCGAATTGAGCCAATGCGAGCAAGCCCACATGGTGCAGCCTGTATTGATTTAGTGTTTTTAGCTGGAATTAATTATTTCATACTGCTTGGCTAATTTATTTCAATAATTTCAAGCGGACATATTTATGATTTACAGGCGAATCTCATTCCCGATGAGTTACTGCCTCTAGATAATAACAATAGATTAAACGCAATGCCGCTCACTCGTATTTACCCGCGAGGTTTCTTTTGCAAACGTTTTTAATTAATTAATGCGGTTGCAGTCCGAATGATTGCGAATTATATCCTGTTATTTATAACTGAGATTTTTGATTTGGGAACTACAAAGCCTTATAACTTTCTTAGGCCCAATTTCACCAGGATTAATATTTAGCAGTCACTTGGACCGATGGGAAAAGACCTTATCAAAAATGCAATTTGACGGAAGCTGTCAAAGCTCTCTGAATATCAGTGATTACTATAAAAATATTGAGCAAAACCGTGAAAAGGCGACTGTATTATAGTATAAACAAGAGCTCTTTTTGATTCCAACATGATGCTTTTGTACAGAGAAAATATGACAACTTTCATGTATTTTGATTTTTCTTGCAACGTATCCAGCTCAACATATAAATCTGAGATTGCTAAAGTTTCATACATGTATATAGAAATATGGTGGGATATGAGAGATATAATAGCACGTGTTCTTAACAATTTGCGCTATCGTGACGAATAAGTGATTTTTTAATGTTAAAATAGCAATGTCAATAACACAAGCTGTTATAAGATCACTCGTGATTTACAATTTTTTTTTCGATAATTCTCTATAATAACTCATAAAGGGACAAAGAACCGAAGAATCTGTTTCATTGTCAGATTTCTGCACGAGACACGACATTGGAGTTGTTTAATGTTGTTTTGTGAGCAAATTTATTATCAACGGGATTAGCTAAGGTAGAGTATTTTAAGTACAAAAAACTGGGCTAGTTTTATCAGAAGCAAACTATATCTCTGAGCCACAGAAGCAAAGCGAATCTCATGCTTCAGATTCTAGTTCAAGGAACTAGTTCACGAACAAACTACTTTATTCAACACTATCACAAAAAATATAGAAACACTAAAAGACTGGATATGATAGTCTTTCAGTCGAGATATTTGCTTAAAATAAAATATATATAACAGAATTTTTATATATTTTTAATATTTTCTATTTTGATTAAATTTTTAAGCTCTTACGTGTGTCATTCACATGTTAATATACCTCAAAATCAGTCAACCACGATGTGACTATACTATACACCTTTCAGGTGGCGAAATATGGCAACAGCGCTTCCATTCCATCCTGTGATCGATAATCGATTTTCTTTGGTACATTCTCCTTCTCCAACGTCACTGTAGTCTATGTTTTGTGGTCACTTGTTGTGTTATTTGAGGAAAATGGAATTTTGGAAGAACAAATTTCCGTGTAAAA